AGGCCTGGATTCGAGTCCTACCTCTGCTACTAATGAGTCGTGGGATCCAAGATCAGTCAGTGATAAAAGGGGAGGGGCAGGGAATGCAAAGGTGACAGGCAAATAATCAGCTTTTCAGCCTGGCTGGCAGTCAGCCCCAAGATACCCACACCACTAGCTGTGACCCATCTCTGTCCCCAAGGGCTTTTCCCAGGAAGGTGGAGTTTCTGCTGAATTCAGTAGCATCTCAGGGCTCAAGCCAGCATCTTGAGGAAGGAAGAGATGGCAGTCCCAAATCCCAAAGGGGCTTTTACGCCTAAGTTGGGGGAATGCGAAGACAGAAGACTGCGGGCAAGAAGAAGGACCAAGGGCTCCCCGTCTGGACACCATGCCTGGCCAGTCCCCTGCGCCTGATGGGAGACCCTCCCTCAGCGAATGAAATGTTCTTCAGAATAACTCCTCTGCCTATCCACCCCTGTGGGGAAAGGGAGCCATCTTCAGTCTTCCCATCTGGCCTCATTTTAATCTGAACAAATGAATGAGTGAATGATGCACTTGAATGATGGCATCCAAGGAAGCAGTCCATGGAGTGCAGCTGCGGCCTCTCCCAGGAATTTCCGCTGGCACATGCCTGTGGCTGGGGTGACTGGAGACACGCTCCCCCCCCCACCCTCACCCTGCCCTAGGTTGGCAGGAGTCATTTGCTACCTTGTTTCAAGCCATTCAGGGGCTCTGTCCTCTCTCTGGTCCTCTAGATCACAGATCCTTGAGGCCAGGAGACTGATTACTTGTCTAGAAGGCCTCAGGGAGATAGAGAACTGCCTGCTCTGGGACCTCTCTCTGGCCACAGCCTCCCTTCCTGTCTTCACATCCCACTTGGGGCAGTTTGGTGGTGGGAGGGGTGGGACACAGTGCCCAGACCACTTGCATCTCTCCCAAGGCCAGCTGCGGCAGCCACCAGTCTCCTCACCCTTCTCCACCATGGGGAGCCTGTGTGGTCTTCTCCCAATGCAGATATGGCATGGCCATGTGACTGCCCTCTCTCTAAACCCCTCAGTGGCATCTCAGTGCTCTTAGGATGGACCCCCAAGTCCCGCCCAAATGCACCTGGCTCTGGTCACCTTGCAGACAGTGCGCTTCCTCCTGCCCAGATGTCCCTCTGGCCATATCTCGGGGCGGGGGGGGGGCACTTCTGATCCAAGACCAGGGAGCCTGAGAGGCTGGGCACCCTTCACATTTCCACGGTAACAGGAACTGCACTTATCATTTCCTGCCCTCATCTGTGGTGGCAGAGAGACACTGATCCTAGTCTCTGGCTTTGAGCTATCCCAGGCAGACTGGTTGGGTGAAAAGGCAATAAATGGCCTGGTTGCTGAGCAGGGCAAGTGACATAACAACAGAACACAGACAGTTGTATGCTATTGCTGATATCTCCCCTTCTCTAACCACCAAAGGGTGGCCTTCACCATGCTTGGCATGTCCCAGCAATGGCCCCCTTGAACTTCTGCTGCAGAGGTACCAATCTGTCTCCTCCCAGGGCCTCTCTCTGCCATTCTGTGTTGAGAAACATTGTACTTATTCATTCACAAAAGGTAACAACATCCTCTTTCACCAAGAACTGTAGCAATGCAAGGAAACATGAATAAGCAGTTACCAGGGAAGGAACCCCATTCTTAGTAGCTGGGGGTGGGGGTGGGGGTGGGCAGTAGAACATGGCTGGGTGTGGCCAGTCCTTATCTTCACAGGCAACACTGACATGTTCTAAACATTTGGTCCTTTTTGTATCCTCACATTTTCCCTAGAAGCAGAGGAGGGGATGTCTGAGACCAGCGTACCCAGCAAGTCTGTGGTCCATCAGCATTCAAGCTCAGACCCTGGATCCCATCCTCACCACTCTCTAACCAAGAAAAGCCCCATCTCCCAGCTGCACATTTAACTCAGCCCCTGCCCCCCCCCAAGCTTGGAATGTGAAGGAACATTCTCAAGACATGGCAGGGCAGAGGGGGAAGCTGGGCTGTGTCTCCCCTTCACCCCAGCCAGTATGCCTGGTTAACCCTACAAAGACCAAGAAGGCCAGCCTGCTATGGAGCTGTCTTGCTCTGGGACCCTGGACAACTCCTCCCGTGCCTGCCTCCTGGGTGGTTTGAAGACAGAGAAGCATCCAGGGAATCCTCATCCCACAGGCTGGGTTGGGGTCTTTGAGAAGCCTTTAAGAATAGCATCAACTTCCCACAAAGGGGTTAGAGACCTAGGTAGAAACATCTCATACATCTGAAAAAAAAAAAGGAGCCTCCAATAAGATTGGGGGGGGGGGGTGTTGCAAGGGGGAACTTGGCTCACTAAGGGACAGGAGATGCTAGATTTGTTTAAAGCCCAGCAGAGCAAGAATAAACATTTCAGCAGTCTTAAATCACCCCACCCCAGGAATGCCGGCACAAAGACCATGTTGAGAGGAAACCAAAATGACAAGGGCCAAGGCAGCTGGGCCAGCCCCTGGTCTCTACCCCACCCACACGAAACCAAGTCAACAAGCCACAGTGGCTTGCTACTGCCGTTTGCCCCCTGGCCCTGGCAATTTCCCAGCACCTGGGCTCTCTACCCTCCTGTTTCCTCATACCCCGTGCCAAGCCAACCCCATTCTGCCTGTCAAAGAATTTTCTCCTGTGTACTCCCATTCGTAGTCTTATGTCACACAAGGACTTTTTATTTTTCCCAATGCAGATGCAACGTGCTCTATGATGCTTTCTTCACCAGCCCACACCCGGCATAGTGTCTCCAGCTCTCCTAAGGACAGGTCAATGGGACCAGCTAACATTTATGACTTCCAACAATGGAGTTTATGTTTATGTTTTCCTTCCTTGCATAGGGATCATTCAATAAATCTCTGTTAAATGAAATGCTGCCTAAATACCCTGGCTTTCTTCTCCCCACCACTTAAATATATACAAACCCTTCCTCCAGACCAGAACTTCCCAACCTGGGGCTTAGGTTGTCAAAGAAAGGAAACTAAACAGTAATCAAATAAAAGACTCTCACTAGGTTTATGTCAACCAATCCTCACCCAGTCCCAGGAGATAAGACTTAATGTCGCATCTGATTGATAAGGAAGTGCCACTCAGGGGTGCTGGTGCAATTGAGCAAGGGGGGGAGTGGAGAAGCTGAGATGGCATCTGCAGCTAGAGGACAAAGTCTGAGGTCTTCCTGCTACATTATGGGGGGGGGGGGGAGACTTCTCAGGAATAAGGCCCTGTAAAGTATCACCAAGGTAGGATGGAATCTCTCAAATAGTGATATGCCCCTATCATATTCTCTCTCTCTCTCTCTCTCTCTCTCTCTGAGACAGTTTGTCCTTAAACTCTTATGCCTCTACTTCCTAAGTACTGGAATTACAGGCATATATACCACCATGCTCAGCCCTATGGTGGTTTTTGTTTTTGCATAGCTGAGGGCTGAACTCAAGTTCTCTTCCCCAACTTCTCTATGATGACTTTTTGTTGTTGTTGTTTGTGGGGCTTGATCTCTGGGCCTGGACAGTATCCCTCAGCTCTTCAGCTCAAGGCTAGCCCTCTACCACTTGAGCCACAGCGCCACTTCCAGTTTTTTGGTGGTTTATTGGAGATAAGAGTCTCATGGACTTTCCTGCCAGGGCTGGCTTTGAACTATGATCCTCAGATCTCAGCCTCCTGAGTAGCTAGGATTACAGGTATGAGCCACCGATGACAGACTGATTTTTTTTTTAAGGAGAAAAAAAAGTCTCTTTTCTAAGTAACTTGGGTCAGGATAAGCTTCCAGAGAGGATGATATGGTCTCAAAGTCTTCCTATCTGAATTATTCACATCTGAAAAGTAACCAAGCGCTAGACAACAGGTTTAAGTGAACCTCTCTAAGCAGAGCAGTCTGGGGGGGGGGGAGGATGAGGGGGCTCTCACCCAGGAGGTACATGGGGTCTAAAATAGCCTCTAGTGTCTTGGGTGTAGAATTAAGCCTGGACACTCTACAGGCAGGTAGTGTGTGGGGAGGGGGATGTTAAAGGAGACTCGGAGCGGAGGAAGGAGGATGTAAGGCGCATCTGACTCTGGGTCCTAAGGAGGCGCTGGTACTCTCTTCTTGGAGGGTCCCATCCTGCCCCGGTGGAGGCAGAGCTTTGCAGTTTGGCAGTAGCATCACAGAGACGTGGGGTTGGCCGCATCCCTGGACTGGCAGCGTCCATCCCTGTCACATGCTCTCCGCAGGCCCTGAGTGGTGTTCTGTACCCAGCTCACTGGGCACAAGAACCTGACTAGGGGAGAGAATCTTGTCTGGGAGGAAAGAAGCCAAAGAAAAGCAGGTGGCCCAGACCGTGTGATGGAAAGGCTATCACCAGGCAAAGGTGACCCAAGGCCTCAGCCCCGCCTGATGGCACATGCCTGTGATCCCCCCCGCTTGTAAAGTGGAGGCAGGAAGATGACCAGTTCGAGGCTGGCCTGAGTGTTCCTTCCTGGAGCTTTAGAGACCCCCCCCACACACACACACGAGGGTGAGCTGTCCCCTTGCCGAGCCCCCCCTTTCCGGGGACGAGTGCTAGAAGATGCGGAGGGGGGGGGGTTGGACGGGAGCTCCACGCGAGCCCAGGTCTCCGGCCGCCACCCCCACCCCCCGGGCCGCGGCGCGATCAGCCCTCAGGAGTCGCCCGGGGCAGCCGCCCACCACGCCGCGAACCGAACCCCAGCCCGACCCCAGCTTCCCGGGACGCTCGGGTCCAGCTGGTCCCCGACGCCTCAGAAGCAGCCGCCGCGCAGACCCAGCCGGGCTGAGCCGCCAGGCTTGGGGGCTCCCGACACCCCGACCCGGGCCGCGCCAACTGCCCCCCCCCCCAAGCCGAACGGGCCACCCGGGCCGGCAGTCCGCGCGGCGGGCGCGGACGGAGCCGAGCGCAGCGCCCGGGACCCGCCGAGCTCTGCCGCGGCGCCCGCATCCACGCCTTCCGCGAGCCGGGCCCGCCCCGGGCCGCCCGGGCCCGCCGGCGCTGCAGCGCCACTCACCATAGCTCTCGCTCCCGGCTCCCGCTCGGGCTCCGGCTCTGGGCTCGCGGCTCTCCGGCCCGGCCCCGGCTCCGGGCTGTCCTTCCCCTCGCGGCCGCGCGGCGCGGGCTCAGCGCCGATGCCGCTCCTGGCTGTCCCAGCGGCGCGCTCTGCGCTCGGGTCCCCGCGGGCGAGCGCGCGACTGGGGCGAGGAGTCTCAAGGGGGCGGGGCCCACAGCCGACCAATGGCGCAGCGCGGAGTCCGGGGCCCTGCCGGCACAGCCAATCACACGCGGCGGCAGGATCACCCCGCCCCCGCGGGCTCCTTAACCCTTGGTATGCCGGCGCTCCGGGCGGGGGCTGCCTGGGGGGCCCGGGAGGGCCGGCGTGGGCCCAGCTTCGGGTTTCCGGGTGCAGGGTCCACACCTCGTGGACACTGGGTCTGGGGACAGGCGGAGCCAACCGGGGAGAGGCTCAGCTGTGTCTCGAGCGGGACGCCCGGTGTCTGGGCGACCTTTGTCTTCTGCCTGGCGCCAGCTCTGAAGCATGACCCGGGGCGATGCAGCTGCGTGTGTGTGTGTGTGTGTGTGTGTGTGTGTGTGTGTGTGTGAGTGTGTGTGTGAGTGAGTGTGTGTGTGTGAGGGAGGAGACAGAAGAGGGGGAAGGGATAGATTCCTCATGCCTGCATGTTTATGTGTGGAGGGAAACAGGCTGACTATATTCGTGTGTGAGTGTCAGAGAAACAAGGAGAGAAAGTGGGAGGGAAGCAAAGAGAAGTCCAGGCACGCACTAGTATGTCCAGGAGAGAACCTGTCGCTACACGTGTGTTGAGTAGGTGCAGTTCTGAAGAAATATGTCTGTGTGTTTGTTTGGAGTGTGATGTGTACAATTGCATCCTGTTGTGCATGCAGGTAGGTGTGGTAGACAGAGATTTTCTGTAGTCAGGCATAGTGGTGCAGGCCTGTAATCCTAGCCATCAGGAGGCAGAGACAAGAGGATTGACATCCTGGGCTACACAGCAAGACTGTTTCACACAGGGAAGAAGAAGAAGAAGAAGAAGAAGAAGAAGAAGAAGAAGAAGAAGAAGAAGAAGAAGAGGAGGAGGAGGAGGAGGAGGAGGAGGAGGAGGAGGAGGAGGAGGAGGAGGAGGAGGAGGAGGAGGAGGAGGAGGAGGAGGAGGAGGAGGAGGAGGAAAGGTAGAGGAAGAGAGGGAGGGGGAGAAAAAGAGAGCGGGAGGTAAAGGAAGGAAGGTGGAAGGGAGGGAGGAAGAGACTGCCTTTGTTGTAAACAAGAGAGCAAATCCCTGAGGGTTTGTGGTGGGGGGGAGGTGTTTTGCTTTCCTGTGACTTTGTTGTGTGACTATTGTGATCACTTTGTTGGGCTGAGGAAAAGAAACTAGTGTGTAGGGGGTGTGACATACAGGTTCAGGAGAGACAAAGGTTCCTAGAGGAATTGGGATTGAAGGATATCTAGGAGTTGCTGTAGCCAGAAAGAAAGACCTGGGAAGTCTTGTGTACTACTTTTGGAAGGGAAGGAAGGTTGAACTGGCTGAAGATGGCAGTGGATCTGAGGAGGGAGAAGACCGATCGCTGGAAGAGAAGAGGAAAAACTGCAGCTTGTGACTGGGAACTGGCCGAGATCGCCCACCTACAGTTGGGATGCAGAGCACCTGGATGGGGATCCTTCCGTATAGCAGCATTGTAGAGGGAAAGGCCACGGGGTGGGGAGGGTCACAGACCTGTTGAGCGGCCTTAGTCTAAAATTCCTGGTGTCCCAAGAAGTTCCTGAAAGTCACAGACCTGATACCTGAAGGCTCATTTGTGAGACGTGAGAAGGGAACCAGTTATGGTAGCTCTCCATTTGCCAACTGTGTGGTTGTGGGAGATTAATGCTCTCTGAGCCTCAGTTTCCTCCTCTAAAATAGGATTCATACTTCCTGCCCACCTCACTCTGCCAATGTGAAGATTGAAGCAGTTGAGGTGTGGACCCTTCGTAGCCCACAGACCTCTAGCCAATGGGCTCTGTTGATAAAAGTTGAGAAAGAGGCAGAGTGCATCTGTGCTCTCTGGTCAGGCTCAGGGTGACTGGTTGGGGAGGGGGCTGGGGAAGCTTCTGGTGCTAGTAAGGCTTTTTGTGACGTCAGGGCTGGGGACACAAGGAGGTAGGTTCAATTCGTGGAAAAACTCAAGACTGCATCTCTTCATACAAGCCTGTTTTTGTTTCTTTCTTCTCAAAAAGTGAGGCCAGGCTTACATACCACTCTCAGCAACCCCACCACAAACACAGGTCTTGCTTTTCCTGTCAATTCCAACTATGGTCCCCAGATGGAGTCTCATTGGCTCTCATTGAGACATATGTTAGTTTCTCAGCCAATCAACTTGGTCAAGAGTTCTGATTGGCCAGAGCTCCTCCCTCTAAGCTGAGCTGGCCGACATTCTAATTTAGTTGTAGTTTGTAGCCTGTCCTACATTTAGGACTCAACAGGAGGTAAAAGGAAGAGCCCCGAATTTGTGAAGAGGCTGACAGTTCACAGGCTTTCGTTATATAGCCACAGCCTTTCTTGGTATTTTTCTCCCTCTACTTTGCCTCCATGGTCATCATACACAGAACAGAGGCTTAGTAATGTCTAGTACATAGTTGATGCCTAAAGAGTCTTTTTAATTTTTTTGGTGGTTGTGGGGCTTGAACTCAGGGCCTAGGTGCTGTCCCTGAGCTCTTCAGTTCAAAGCTAGTACTCTACCACTTTGACCCATGGCACCACTTCTGGTTTTCGGGTAGTTGATTGGAGATAAGAGTCTCACAGACTTTCCTGCCCTGGCTTTGAACCATGATCCTCAGATCTCAGCCTCCTGAGTAGCTAGGATTACAGGTGTGAGCCACCAGTGCCCAGCAGCCAAAGAGACTTTTTAAAATTATTTCTTGGCAATACAGGATTGGAACTCAGAGCCTTGTGCTTGTTAGGTAGGTGTTCTAATACTTGAGGCACACCCTCCCCAGTCATTTTTGCTTGCTTGCTTGCTTTTCTTTCTTTCTTTTTTTCTTTTGATAGTGTCTCATACGTTTACCAGAGACAGACTTGGATCTCACTTTTCTTCACTTTGTCTCCTGTATAGTTGGGATTACAGGTCTGCCCCACTCCACTGGGCCTGAGGTTACTGTGTTAATTTTCCTGTTTTGGTGTTTCCTATAGTTTCGGATTTCCCTACAGTGAATATGAATACTTTGGACAATCTTTTAATACCTAAGAAACATCTTCAAATACGTAGGGAGGGCCCTCTGGCACGAGCAAAGGCCTGGTGGTGGGGAAGCTGTCAGCACTCCAAGTACCAGTAAGGAAGTGAGGCGAAGGGGAGCTAGTGGTATCCCGTGCACAGTCCCTGTACCAGGCCAAGGAGCCTGGGTCCTACAGGAAGGCCCAGGCACTTTCCCAGGAATCTGTGTCCAGCATCATTTTCATAATTTGGGTCTTTAATGTGAATGTTAGCTATAAACAATGAGTATCAACACATTCTGTCTCCCCAGATGGTATGGCCTGGTAACCAGAGCTGCCCACCCCCCCCCTGCAGCACCCGGGCTGGGCTATGCCTGGGGCTTAGGTTGGGGCTGGCTACGCTCCTGTAATTGCCTGGAGCTGGTGAGGAAAGATAGCAGCAGGTCTCAGCTTGGTTGGTTTATTTTCCAGGGCCATGAGCTCAGCCCTTGTCTCTGCGAGAATTCCAAGAGCCTAGAAGATGTTCCAGACATTGACGAAGAATTTTAATGACTCTAACCACCACCGCCACCAAAATGACACACAAACACACCTTGTGGATTAAGATAATTTCAGTGGCAAACTTACAAAAAGAAGTCCCCTTTTATAGCAAAATTATACACACAGACACACACACATGATATTGAATGGGGGCACATTTTAAACATACTTCCCAGGAGAAGGTAGATAGGAAAGACAGAAAAATTGAGGGCCTACAATGGGCCAAGAAACAGTTGTGGACTTAAGGCAGAGGCTTGGGCTCTACCCCTAAGGGTATGGCTCAATGGTAGAGCACTGGCCTAGCATAGAAGAAAAATAAAGTAAAAAGTAAACAGAGGAGCAGCAATAGACACTCATACATCCATGAGCATATATGACAAAGTCACCATGTGACAAGGCTGTGTGCCCACCTCAGGACAAACCCTAAATGGAGCAAGGGGTGAGAGGAAGGAAGGGAGGAAGGGTGGGGCTTGAACCCAGGGCCAGGTGCTGTCCCTGAGCTCTTTTGCTCAAGGCTAGCACTCCACCACTTGCTCCACAGAACCACTTCCTGCTTTCTGGTGGTTAGTTGGAATGAAGAGTCTCATATCATAGACTTTCCTGCCCAGGCTGGCTTTAAACTGTGATCCTCAGATCTCAACCTCCTGAGTAGCTAGGATTACAGGTGAAAGCCACCAGTGCAGCCTTCACCTTTATAATAACAATAAAAAATTAAAAACAAAGACTGGCTGTTCTTTGAGTCTTTAAAATATTCACAACAGGCAACTCTTGAGAGACAGAAAGTGGCTTAGGGGCTGCTGAGGCTGAAGAGGAAGGAGAAAGAGCAGTTGGAGGCCCTGGGGTGGGGGTGGGGGGATAGAGTGGCCACTAATAGGACTTGGTTTCTTTTGAGAATGGTAATAAGTTTCACTTTTTCTTTATCTCCTCCTCCTTCTCTTCCTCCTCCTTCTTGTGGTGTGGGGTTTGAACTCAGGGCTTCTTGCTTGCTAGACATGTGTTCTACATCTTGAGCCACAAACATACCCAGCCCTCTTCCTCACTGGTTATTTTTGAGACAGGCCCTCACTTCCTGCCTAGGAACACCCCTGATCCATGATCCACCTTTTAGGATTCCTACCCTAGTTGGGACGACAGGCATCCCCCATTGTATTCAGCTATAGAGATGAGGTCTCAAGTGGTTTTTCTGCACAGCTGACTTGGATCAATGATCCTCCAAATGTCAGCCTCCCGTGATGCTTGTGGGGACAGGTGTGTGCCACTGTACCCAGCTAGGTGTTAAAAAAATGTCTCACAAACTTTGCTGCCTGAGGTTGGCTCTGGACTCTAATTTTCCTCTTTCCTAGAATTACAAATGTGAGATGCTAATGCCTGGTTCACAATTCTTAATATATTAGATAATATTGCATTGTCTGC